AAATTTCTTTGTATCAAGAGTTTGCGTACGATCGAAAACATTCCACAACAAAGATAAAGATAACAATATTGCCTTCGACTGTTTTCCCATAGACCCTACCCATTTTTGCACTGTAAATTCAGACGGTATGTAATAACTTGTGTGTATTTTTATGAACATGTTTGTTTCTTCATTGTAATGTGTAATGGAAATCAAAACAAACAAAACCGGCGCTGTGAACAAAAATTTTAATTTGTTCTATGACAATTATCACATAATTTTATGTTAAATTAGATGCTTTTGTTATGTATAGAACTGACAGATACTAAAAATATTTTGGGTGCCAGTAGGTTTTTTAATTTTCTCTTTTTGGAAATTAACACGCTAAATGTGGGCAGGTACTCCCAACTTTCTAGGCTGTAATTATCAAGACCTCTTCACTTTGAGACTAGTTGGTAGTCTTGCATCTATAATGAGGACACAATGGTAAAATAATCAGTATCTTTCATCTTCACTCTCTACAAAAAAAATTAATGAATCATCATCTTCTTTGTCCTGCAGAGAAGAGATCAGGAATTGTCTCTGATTGCAAGAGAACATTCGCCGTCTTTGAAGCTAATAAGTATGCTCAAGGAAATCCAGTCTAGAAGAAACAAACTTTACAAGGTAGAAGAAACATGATTATTTATTTTGTGACAATTCATCTTATTCTTCTCAAGTTTCTTTCGTCACATGTTTTCTGATTCATATAGTTGACCCCCAAGATAGTCTGACAAATACTAATATGTCTGTATATGCATATGCTTTAGTAACTGGTTGCTAAGAAACCTTCGTTTGCATACAAAGATAAAATAATGGCGCTGATCAATGTGATGCGAGCTAAAATTCGATTTTCAATGTGTGTCTGTTATTTACAGATTGATACTGAGGTGAAAAAAAGATTACTGGATAAATCAACGCAAGATATCACACACCTGGATGTCCTGGGTATGTTCTTCAAATGTTTGTAAAAAAATTTGTCACCACTATGAGAGTAATTTAACATGTAGTGGTGTGGAATTTAGTTCCTCCATAGTCATGGTTGCTTGTGATGGGGTAAGGGTAAAAACAATTTGAACTATATTGCATGTAACGGTAATATCGGTATTATGATTTTGTTGTAATTATAATACTAATTATAGTTTTGTACTTTGAAATTACTACAAAAGGGGGTACTTAACTTATTTCATGGAAACTATGGCACTGTGATTTCCCTTGTAGTGTTAGGCCCTAAGCAGCTAGTCACAGTAAAATTCCTGCGTCAAGAAGAAGTTCTTCAGTAACTTAAATTACTTCATGTTTTTCTGAAGCTGTTTAGGTGGCAAGTACTTGTTACCAAAGAGGTTAAGTTAAAGCAAGATGATCGTCACCTGCACATGCAGGAATTGAGTCCCAATCAACGATAACAACACACGCTAAAAACGCAAAGGCTCATGAGTAGACGCTTGTTTGTAAACAATGACACGCTATGGCCATCTGACGCATGCGCAGGTGACGACTCCCCCGCTTTAAGAGAAATTTCTATTTAATCCACTACTCATCTACTCATTATGTCAAGGATTCTGTGACTTTTTACAAGCACAGGAAAAGCACAGATAGATAAGCTCTTGCGTCCCCTTTGACTGGATGGCATTTCTCCAGTGAGCTTTACAAGTTAGCAGAATATTCTTTTTTTTCACTGCTAAGTAGGCAGCCAACCATGGGAACTGAACCCACATTCTTCCTAGTGCTGGGAAGATATACTAACCATTAATCACACATCAGAAATAAATTGTTATTGTGATACTACTATATAATGTCTTCCAGACCAGATTACCGATAGTCTTGGTATAAAATAATTCACCTAGAACCCATGTAAATGTAACTTGCATTGTAACTTTCTTATCTAATAAGAAATCTGGTCTGTACATCCACCTTATTTAAAAAAAAAAAAAGAATTCATGTTTATTTTTTTCCTGGCTTAGAACAAAAGATCGGTAAGCTTAATGATTTGAGCGAACACCTCCAGTCAGTGACTTTACACAAGGACGTCATTATCAATCGACTTCAGCAGCCATCAGTCGGGGAAGGATTAAAAATAGAAGCAAGATACCACCAGTTTGTGTCTGGTCTGTTTCCAATATTAGCAAAGTGTCTGTCAGAGCTCAGTTCTAATCTGGATAACATAGAATGGCTTGGTAATCTTAATCTGTCCGATGGACAACTGGTAAGTCTCACAATGTTGAATTTTTGAGTGTGTATTTATTCACTGAAAAACAATTATTTTTGTTGTATTATGTTGCAAGAAAAAATGTTTTTGGTAAATTCAGAATAAATATAAATTTATTAGTTAATTTACTTAAATATTATAGTTTGTCTGGTTTTTGTACTCACCTGATAACAGATCTTGCGCTTATCAGCAATTCAGCGCTGGAAACAGGGTTCTTTTATTTTTGAAGATTTGATCTATGACCATAGTGTAGGTTAAGTGTCATTGGATTGGAAATGT